ACAGTATATGTAAAAGTGACCAAAAACATAAATTTATTTCCCCTACCCCCATCTTAAATAGTTTGAAATAGGGTATTTTAAGTCAAAATTTCAAAGTGCTGTAAAAAAAATTGCCCAAGCCCTAGGCATGGGGATTTTTTTTCTGAGACACTATAGGGTATGCTGATTCAGAAAAACCAAAAATTAATTTTCCTTTACTTTTTTCCCGCTAAAGTTCATTTCAGCAGTTTTACAACCAGACTAAACAGGCAACATAGGCCTACTGTATAAGAGAACAATGCTATTAGAAACGGTGGATTAAAAAAAAAAAAAAAAAACCCGTTTAATTAAACAGTCTCTTGTATCAGTCTCCTATGATGAGATCATAAGCGGCCATTATATAATCTTACAGTATAGGCATAGATAGATGAACTTGTGTATAATCCTCTTTCTAACAGAACTTTTCTAATGGAACTGATTTTACCAAGCTCTGTTAAAAAGGTGATTGATACTGATCATCAATATTTTGGACAGTAGGCAATGCATCAATTTTTATGTTGCTCAACCATGACGTCTTGCAGGCTTGGTGTTTTGTGATTTAAATTATTCATCTTTTGACGAAATATAGATGCAGTTATTTTAAAAATGTCTTGTCAAATTAAGGAATTGTTTATGAATGATGTATATATATATTTTTTCTAGACAAAATGCTTATTTCATGGTGAATTATCTTTTTTAACGTGCTAATAATATAATTCTTTAGTCTTTATCAGATAATATATTTTCACAAGACTTCTACAACTGGGGGTGGGGGGCTAGTGGAGCGAATCGAGTCTCACTTGGCTGGGGGCCTGGGGGACACCTAGGGCCCCGGTGGGGGTCCAGGGGGAAGCCCCCTGGAAACCACGGGTATTTGATGAATTATGGCGATTTTTTATTACTTATTTGATAGGCATCGAGTTACTTTATAATGACTTCATGTAGGCTATGCTTTCTAATGTTGACATCAGCTTCCAAAACCAAAACATTTTGAATAAAGCATGAAACAAAGAGTATGCAATGTAACCATCTAATTTATTTTCAAATCCTCATTCTTGAAAGTGAAATTCTATATTTTGGAAATTTTGCATTAAATCTGTCAACCACGCTGTCTTGGTCGTGGTTGCTTCAACTATCACGATGTATTCCAACCATCATGATGCTATACATGAGCATTTTTCATAACAGAACGCAAATTATTTTTAATTAGTCTCATTTAATTATTATTATTATTATTATTATTATTATTATTATTATTGTTGTTGTTGTTGTTATGAAAAGTTAACACAAACAATATGGTGGCTAAACGAATATTACATGTAAATATTTTTTTGTATTTGTTTGTTCCCCGACAAAATATATCGTCTTCCCCCGACGGGGGGCTAAGCTTCCCCGACGGGTGGGCTATAATAGCCCCTCCCCCTGGTGCCACCACTGCATAGAACAAATAAAGACCGTAGTTATAAGTATGATGTTATTACGGATATAAGACAACTAGTCTTTCTCCCTTCATACAACCAATATATATATATATAT